ATATAAAATCATATTAGGCACATGAAGGCACATTGAAAACCGAGTTGAAAACTGACCGCTGTTTGTAGATTTACACAAGGATTACTTTCTAAATATGGTATATTGATGGAGGACTGAATGAGTTTAGGAGTTAGAGGGCGGTCTAAATGTGATGATCATTCTTCTGAAAATTCTGTTTAAACAAGTATTTACGCTCGCAAAAATGCAGTTTCGATGTGCCCGTTTTTCCAAAACCCTCTATAGGTAAGCAGGTGGAAATTTACATATGGGAGTTTCAAACCATGTAGAACAATAATATGAGGTTAGATTTCCTGTAAAAAAATGCCTAATATGAAAAATCGACCCTTTTTATTTCGATCGAACTGATCATATTGATGGTTATTCATACCACACCCAATTTGGTTGGAATCGCATGACTAATAACTGAGATATAGAGGGGAGGCCGTTTAAAGTGAGACACGCTGTATATTGTTCTAAAATTGTTCTAAAATTGTTCTTTCCGTCATTCGGTTGCCCCCTTACGAGCAACCCTCAGAAGTCTTCGAGAGTCTTGTGCGAGCAAGGAATGACGGGGGCCTTACCTTTTAACGTGTGATCTAAACACTTTCTTGGGCCATCAGAAAAATTTCTGCAGTCGATGGGAATCGAACCCACGACCGGCAAGCGAATGCGGATTAGAATATTGACACTGTCCGCACGGCAACCTGGCCCTACCTATAACGAAGTACCTACAGTGAGGACCAAAAGTCCGTCGCCCCCCTCGCAACTTCTTTATTTAACATATTACAAAAACATATTGAGAGCATAAGTTGTATCATTGAATAGTTTAGGAATCAATAACACTTGTAAATTATTATTTATTATTTCCACTATTTTTGCACCAGCTCAATGATAAAACCGCTACAAATGGAATACAATGTATTTCACTTTCCTATCCTAACCTTTTGAAATATTTTAAATTTTTTTTGTAATCTCTGTATACTACTACTATTACTACTACTCAAGTTTCTGGCAATAACTGATGCTAATTTTCTCCTTAATAAACTTATGCGAAGAGACCCTGGAGACCCATTTCTTACCACCTCTCCGGGCCAGTCCGGCACTGCCTTTGATTCTACTTCCTCATGATTTCAAATTGTTGTTATTCGAGAGTGTTCAATTCCTGAAATGCACTTTTTTCACAGTTTATTTTATCAGTGATGTTAGGAAAAGGGGTTATTTTTCCAAATTGAACGATCAGAATTCAAGCAGAACTCAAAGGGCAAAATGATAAAATTGTTCCTGACTATCAGAGTTGCCATAGGTTCTGACACGATTCTGACATGTTGCGGGATTGGGGGTGCCAGCCCTGTATCGTTTTTTTTTCTGTTATGGCAGAGTAAGGGCAGACCCTGCATTGCCTTTTATGGTAACAATATTTTAGTTACCTATTAGTTGAAACTTTTATCAAAATCATCAAGGTTCTTTTTTCCGCGAGAAAAAGGAAAAAAGTGAGTACTTTTTCCGCGAATATATACATATAGACTGTTGGCTTTTGTTGTGCTAGTTCCGAAAAATAAGCCAATAACACCTTCTCCAAGAAAGAACTGTCCTCTTCTTCGATTCTCCTCTTCGCGGTTACTCAAATTACTAAACAACCACTAAGTTCGCTAATTTTCAAAATCAAATCACAGAATTAGACTGACAGATATTTGATTACTTCAAAAGAATGACAAAGATGTCTGCAACCCAGGAGTAATTCCCGAGGTAATTCCTCTTGAAAACTTCAAATTTCACTTCGATACTTTACTCATTTTTATATAATGTAATATCTTCTCAATATTGATTCGTCCAATTTCCTGTCACAGAAAAAAAATAGTGTATTATACACGGAAAAAATACTGCTACACGTCGAGCTAAAATTTACTACTTTTTTCCTTTGTATAATAAATAACAATGAAATTTGAAGATGCATAAAAATAAAATCATTAGTAGTATAAAGTATATAAAAAGTAGTATAAAAAAACATTGATTTAATTATTTCTCATGGTTGGAATGAGTCATGACTGTTATAAAAAAGTCATAAAAGTCCGACTTTTTGAATTAATTCGAACTTTTTTGATTCGATTCACTTGAAAAAATGAAATTTCATTCACAAAATACTAGAATGTAACAGGAAACTCGACTTTTTATTTTCTTCAAAAATCCAAAAGCATACCATAACAAAATAGGCAATTTTTGCAAAACAAACTGGAACTATTGTTGCATGTGACAGCGAAAAAGCATTGACAGAGTGAAATAGAATGCGTGGAACTGAATGGAAATAACAATACAGATGGATGCACCTCCATATTGAGGTCTGACCAATCAAAAAGCGCACTATTGACGCCACTCTGTTCAATCACTCTACTTCAATCAACCATGGTCTATTTATGAAAATGTTGTGATACAGAGGGTAGTTCAGAGGTAGTGCGCAAAACGTTGAACTTCGTGTATTTCAAGTGGTGACCTCGGTGGTGACATCTCGACGATAAAAGGTATATTCGATCTGGGTGACCTAGTATTGAATTCTTCAACATTATAAAAACACTATAACTTTCAGAATTTCACAAAAATCTTATGGATTGTGCTGTTTTTTCATATTACTATACATCTCTTGTTCGGTTCGAGTATTGTTGAATTTCTCAGTCGTTTTTCTTATCCTGGTGTCAACAAATCTATTAGACACGTTATCACTTCTAGAATATTAGGTACATACATATATTAGAATGAGATTTGGTATAAGTAAATGGTATGTCAAGCTGAAGAGGATCATTTTCGAATGTTTCACTTCTTGGTCGCATCTAGTTTTACCGGTTTTTTAAATTTTGAATGAAGCACCCTGTATATTGTAATATTTCAGGATTTCTGAAACAATTCTGGATCAAAATGTGACATTTTGAAAAGATTCACGCCTACTTATTTTTTTAGATTTACTTTGAATATTGTATCAAGGTGGCTATAATCGGACGTAACCTTATTTACCTCATGATTTTGGGACATCATGCTCGACCTCTGGTTAGGTCAGATAATTACAATCGCAAATGTTTTAGTGACTACACCTTTTCCAGTTTCATTTCAGAAAGCGTAAATGACATTTCAGAAAGCGTCAATTCAATTTCAGAAAGCGTCAATTGTATTTCAGAATAGGCACTTGTATTTCGGAAAGCATCGATTGTATTTCAGAACAGTCAACTGGATTTCAGAAAGCTTCATTTGTATTTCAGAATAGTCAATTGAATTTCAGGAAGCGTCAATTGTTATTCAGAATAATCAATCGAATATCAGAAAGTATCAATTGTATTTCAGAATGGTCAATTGAATTTCAGAAAGCTTCCATTGTACCTATCTCAAATTATATTTACTGAAATATAAATTACACTTTCTGTAATTCGATTGACTATTCTGAAATACAATTGACGCTTTCTGAAATACAAATGACTATTCTGAAATATCATTCATGCGTAGTATGAATGATAGGAATAAGACAAATTGGCAAAATTATATTCTCATTTCTAACCGTTACCCTCGCTGTTGCCTATTTGTCAAATGAAGACCATTTTTCAATTCGCACTTTCTCCGGAAAAAGAGTTTTTTAACGTATCTTACGATACTGATTTATTTCCGATTGGATTAAAGATGGAAAAATTTACTAATTATTTTTGATACTAATAGGTATGTTAATTTTTGTCAAGTGTGCCATTGATAATAATGGACGAGTGGACTTCTAATGAATTATTGACATCAAATTACTACACTGTGTTAAGGACCTAAATTAGTTTTTGCAATACTTCGCACACTTTTTTTATGTAAATAATGAGTGTATGCGTTGTTCGAAATTGTTGAATTTCGGAGCTCATATCAAACGTACCACTATTTGGCGATACGTCGAATAAATGGTGACGTCAGCTTTTATGCTGTTTCGTTATTGGTCAGATAATATTCCATTCCAACTCACGAAGCAAGGTTGTCAAGGCACCAATTATAATCAAGTTTTTCAAAAAGATGCAAGAGTTCTGTCGTTGAACAAAACATAATAGGAGGAACCCATGATATTAAAGTATATTCTTCACTCTTTCGAGCAACCAGCATAACAAAATTTTATGTAAATGTTGAAGACTTGGCAACATTGTGCTGAAGTCGTGCGCGCGCTGTAGTCACTTTCACCGCTTCAAATGTCCTCTAATGTGAATTAATATAATCACAATTTACACAAATCTTTTATAAGTAATAAGCCACATATCATAAGGGGACATTTTGAGACAATTGATTTTGTATTGCTAAATGGGTATATTACCAATACATAAGTGAGAATTTATTAATGTTTGAATAACTAACATTTCTGAAGTACCCAATCGTATTTCAACACATGGCAACTGTGTTATGGTCTGCCCCTACTTACGAAATCGTGACATTACTTTTTACTCGTGGTGAATTTCTATCAGTTTGAAAATTACCGTGGCATCATTGATCATTTAGCACCTAAAAATCTACCGAAAAATTCTAAAAAAATATGAATTCGAAAAGTATATGAGTGATATGATTCAATTTGAGAAATAAAAAAAATAGTCCACTGTCCTATTGTCACATTCTGAATTAGAATTCGCCATAAATACATCGCCCCATCTGTCGGCAATAATTGAACTTTGAACACTCCTGGGCGGTTTGTTTTGATGTATGTACCCAATAAAACAAAATGTAAACGAATAGAACGTACATCAGCTTTGACAGCTTTCAAAAACTCCGCCAATGGAACAATCTACTGAGTACGTTTTAAAAATTCAAAAGCGGAGCCATCTTGGCTGAAACCGGAAGTGACCGAAAAGTAAACATTACCACTTCACATATTATTTCCCTATACCGAATCTCATTTTGATACACCTGATATTCCAGAAGTTCAAAAATAATTCCAACACTTACCTCCTCTCCCTATCCTCTCCAGGTATGCACGATGTTCCACGAACATTATAGGTATTTTGTAGGATGGGATTTAGCTGACGCAGATGATCCAGTTTGCCTTGGTATATGTGATGGCATAATAGGAAAAGTTGAACATAGCCCTTTGTTCGATCCCCGTTTACTCCTTATAAAAGAAAGTCTTCCAGTGGGCAAACTCCATGGCGATAATGAGATATACAAAATTAAATCCGTAGTGTTCTTACCTGTTGGTATTGAAAATGTAGACATCAACCTGTTGCCTTGTCAGAAACATAAATGTATCACTTTGAAACAAAACCCTAGCAGCACGAGCTCCCTATTTGATATACAGAAAAATACTGCTTTGACCAAGACATGGGGCACACTCAAAAGTGCAGGAAATACAATAAAAAATACTACTCAGCAAGCAGCTGCTATGGCTGGTGTTCAAAAAAAAGGAACCATCAAGGATAAAGATAGATTTGAAAAACAGATCATGGAAGAATTCTATAAAATATTCTCGGATACGAATTCTTTTTATTTTTCTCGAACCACAGATCTAACAAATTCCTTACAGAGATTGTGTAAGTTGGAAAAAGATGGTTCGATAGATCCAAAGGCCTTATGGAAAACTGTAGATGACAGATTTTTTTGGAATAAGCACATGTTGAACACTATGATTGAAACAGGGGTGAGTTTTTTATTTTGTTGATGTATTGTTCAGTATAACACATGAGAAATGAATTATGAGTCATAGTAGTAGTGACAATTTAGTTAGACACTATGTTAATACCAAAACTTTCAATTAATAGAAATTAGATTTGGGGAAAACTGAATTGTTCACAACGAAATTGCCTCAGAACTTATTTAAGAAAGTAAGGTCAATTGCTTTATTTCCTTTTTTATTTCAGAACCCATTGTTTGATCCCTGGATTATGCCTATCATCCAGGGTTATGTTCAAATAGAAGATTGTAAAGTAGAAATGGATAGAAATATGATAGATTCCGAAGCAAAACAATACGAAATTTTCAAACTCTGCATAATATCAAGAAGAAGCCGTTTCAGAGCTGGTACCAGGTATTTATCACAGATTTAATTAAAGTTCGAAGAATGCTCATCTTTTCATTACCATTTGTGGTGCAGACCTCTTCAAAAGTATCATATGATATATATTAATATCTAAACTGATATATTGACTTTGTAGTAGTATGATGTGTATATAAGCAATGAAATCCTTGTAATACTATCAGCAATAAGCTTATAGGAGGAAGTAGTGGGGATCTCGGTAACAAAGCGGCAGATTTCACAAGCCAGATGAAAAGTTGATTCTGGGTTGAACATTTCCTATAAGGCGTTGAACTTCGATATTATGTGAAGGAAACTATCATTATCATCATTATTATTATAACTTGATGGAATCGATTATTTCCGAAGTAAATTATTGCCTGACCTCTAGCCCATGTGTTTCATTTCCAAAAAAGTTCCAACGGTAATGAGCAGTGACACTATAAATACTTATTATTCACAGCAAATAACAAAAGCGCGATGGAAAACGTTTTTTTATTATCTTTGGAAGATATTTATGAGATATTGAGATCGTTTTTCTTCATCATACGAGTTCCTGTCCAAGATAGTGAATTTGTAAAAACAGAACATTTTTTTTTTATTTGTTGAAGGGTAGGAGGAATCAATGTAAAGAAGTGCATAAAAAAGGTTGTAAATTGAAAGTATTAATGATAATTGAGCCGTGTTACATAATAGTTATAATTACTATACCGGTTCACCATACCAGTCCTTGCAGTGAGAAAACACAGTTGAAGTCTCGGTTGAAGTAAACTGGGAGCTCCCTTCAACTTTCAAGAGCATGATGTGGTTACATGTCATTCTTAGTCAATGAGATTCAACTTGTATGATATTGATTACGGAGTCACTTGACAGTTTTGAAATATAAGCGCTACCAATGACTAGGATAAAATTGTTGAAGAAGTTCGGCGAACATATCAGTATCCTGAACCCAGGTGATGTGGAAAAGATTCGGCCAAGGAAGATGGTATCTTCCGCTTGCGAAATCAGCCACCTCCAAGTCCCAAATAGGTGATCTAAATGCGTCAGGTCATAGACCTCCCACACACACAGATTTCTTATATCGGGTTTTGCTTCATCGTGTCATGAATCATTTCCTGTCCAATGTTGAGAAGTGCATTGAAGTTGATGGCGGTTACTTAAAATGTTAGGTTGAGTCGTATGTAACAGTAAATCCCAAAGAGTAAATTGTTATTAGGTGTAATTGAATATTTATTTCATTGAGTTTTAACAATTATTTCATTTAGCTATCAAACCCTGCTTGAAATCTACTCATTTTGTGATATTTTGTACAAAATACTGTGATGTATGAAGTTCGATCTTTAACTTTGTAGAGCTTCTTGTTCACAAATAGACAGGTATTCCAAAATCTCCGCTCAGGTCACTACCAACAAATCAAAACAATACAAAAAGCAAACGATTCATAATGTTGCCAAAACTGCTATTATCGTTAACAACCATGAATAATGTGAAGGGTGGGCGTACGAAAAAGAGTGAATAATTTATTTTTAAGCTTGGTCAATAACTTTCGGGATATAATCATTTGGAATCAATTACACAAGTTTCACATGTTGAAATCTCACATGCTCTCTGTAAGATATTGATTATCAATTTTTGGACAATTAGGTATAAAAGAAGAGGTGTGGACGAGGTTGGTGAAGTGGCTAACTATGTGGAAACAGAACAATTGATTGCATACCAAACACATGAAGTTTCATTTATCCAAGTTAGAGGTTCGGTCCCAGTCTATTGGTCTCAGCCTGGATTCAAATATAGACCCCCACCACGAATAGATAGAGGTAAGATTGACTTCACTGAGTTGCAGTGTGCGACATATGGTGTCGTAGAAGCTCGGCAAGCATCAGAAGACGAGTACAGTACCCTTTTCAAGGACTTTGTACTACATTTCTGCCAAAGCCTCCAGAAGTTATTTGAGTTTAGGTAATCAAACAATTGCTGAACTATCCGCCCAGCACAAGTTCCAGCAAAAAAACGATAGTTAAATATAGGTTGAAACTGCGGACCTTTCATTAAAAAAAACTACCTTCCTTTTTCTTGGAAAAGTACAAAATAGAAAAACCTTGAACCATCCACCTTCGGTTTGTCAATCTCCACACTTCGTTTGATACATGACCTATAACCATTGTAGCTGCTCAAAGCTCTCAAGTTCTAGAATTTTAGCGATAATTGAGAAACGTGAAATTTGTTTTTGAATTATTTTGACATTCCTGGTAGTTACATATTGACATTTATAGGTGAAGCTGATACCAAAGTTGCTTTTGAGACGCATTTCAACAAAGAAGTGAAAAAGTATGGTCCTATTTGTGTGATAAATCTAGTTGATCAAACGGGGAAAGAAAAAGTAATTTTCGATGCTTATTCCCATTATATTCTACAACAAAATAGTCCTTTTATAACGTACGTCACATTCGATTTCCATGAATATTGGTAAGTTGTTTCAACTATTTTTTAAATGTTCAAATCAGATTTTATTGATGGATATTGTTTTTAAACTACTAATTTTTGCTAATACAGTTTACTATGACAGTATAATCATTGGAATGTCAAGGAAATCTGACTTTTACTGCTTTTTGGAGAGTTTAGATGTTTTCTGTACATTTTCGTTGAATGAGTGCAGGTATATTTCGTAGTAATAGCTATTTCAATATACAGAAGATTATTTTTTGCTATTTATTGATAACGTACAAGATACTCTTGTTGATATTCATGCAATAGTATCAAATGAAAATAGTGTTGTTTGCAAAAATCATTTATTTCATTCACTTTATGCATTAAAGTATACTAATATCTCAAATGAACAGGAAAATAACTAAGAGGATAATGGGGAAAAATATTAGAAAACAATGAAAGAATTATGACACCTTAAGTAAATTATTGTGCACTTCGCAATTTTTCAACAGCTGCATTTTTGTTATAGATATAGATATTTAAAATATTCTGTTTGGCACATTTTTTCTGATCGACGGATTCGAAAATCATTTTCATTTCGATGCTTATCCATTATATTTTTGAAAATATGCCTTATATCCCTGTTCCATGTAACGAATGTCTTATTTTTTTGGCAATTCAAATTGGCATTAACCAGCATCTTTGGAATTTCGGCAGTTCAGTATCATTTTTAATTTCATCATAAATATTTTATGGTGTCTGAAGATGGCTGTGGATCCGAATCTCGTAACCGATTTTTCAATATATTTGTGGGTCGACGGACTGGTGTTTTTTGAGAAATTATAAAATCAATGTTGAAATATTTGACAAATAACAACTACTTTTCTGGCTGATACTACAGTATGTTGAATTATACCTGTGAAAAAGATATACCTAATTTTGAAAAATGTACAATAGCTAACTATTGTTAAAATATTTTAACAGAAAACAACTACTTTAGTGGCAAATACCACATAATATTCGTTTATATCTGTTATGTATCGAAAAACCAATAGGTACCTATATTTAATTTTGAGAATATATCTATGACTTTTTTTTCATGAGAAATTCCTAAGAAATGATGATCATGAGTAACCAATTGCATTTTATGATTTGGTACTGAATATTTCCGACATTTTTCTCTATCTTGTAACTGATCATAAAAAAAATATATCATAACATCCTTTGAACAAATGGATATTATGAGGATAATAGTTGTTATTACTCATTCAGCATGTCACGTTTTCATAGATTGATATGAGAATTGATAGGTGAAAAATCTGTATCCATGTTCATTAATCTTTTTAGAAATTCTTTTCACTTTTTGTACATTGTAAATAGCTGAGATTGGTTCGAGTGATAGTAATATATTACTTTTTTTCAGCAAAGGAATGCATTTTGAAAATGTGTCAATTCTGATCAATGCCATCAGTGATATCATAAAAGACATGAACTATTGTTGGAGAGATAATCAGGGGCATATCTGTTCTCAGAATGGTGTTTTCAGACTGAACTGCATAGACTGTTTGGATAGAACAAATGTTGTTCAGGTAAACCTAATATACTTCATTTGTATCTTGTATTGTATTTCTGCTCTACACATCGCACCTTCTATTATGTGCCAACTATAACCAAGAAAAATTGAAAAGATATTATTCAGACAGTAAATTTTCTTCTTTTTTATCTTTTGGAGCGCACGATAAGGAATCCCTCTTATGTTCGTGGAACACATGCATAACTAGAAACAATATGGAGAAAAAGTAGGTATTGGGGTTATTAAAACTGTTTGAGATAACCATTGCCCAGGTAGATACTTTTATAGCAACAATTTGGTACTTCCCATGTCTTATCGCTTTTTGATCATGAGTTCCGGCGGCAAAAGAATATTTCTGGACATTATACATGTCATGGTTTGTTGCCAATGCTTGCAACTGCTACGCCAGCATGCTACAGTGTGGTACTAGTGCCGCTCCTGTAGGCAATAATTGGGGCAAATCTATTAATTCTTGATCGCTTACTAATGAGATCTAGTTATTTTTATTAGTCATGGCAACTGGGATCAAATCTTGAATATTGAGCATTGAATATGTAAACTATTGATATATCAAATAACAACACCCTATAGATTCTGAAATCATGAAATAAAATATATTTAAAATTTTTCGAAAATATTAAATGCTGCGGCATTGATTTGTTTCATCAGGTATTGATTTTTGGCGCATCAAAACAGATCCTAACATTTCTGTATTTACGTTTTTGTGCAATATCCGATAATCAACCTTGTATGAGGGAAGTTTCCGAAGTTCTGGAAATTGTGCTATAATTAAATTATGCAGAACTTATAGGCAATATTATTGGTGCCAGGCAATTCTTGATATGTTTATGCAACCTAGTGCAACCTGAACAGTCTGATTTAGATGTTTGACTGATATATACGTGCTTTCATACCACTGTTTTTGTAACTATCTCAAAGAGCATTAATTTGTTTTTTGTGGAAAGGAAATGTGAAAACATTTTTTAAGGCTTTATTCAAATAGTTCACAATCTGATCTTGATTGTTGTTGATTTAGTACATAACTGTTCTCGACGCTATTTGAAAAATGATTCCAAATCAAACTTCTTAACTCTATACACATTCATCTCATCGTTACTATCTTTTTGACAACTCAGTTTTAAATAGTTTCAGTTTATCGGCTTTCCTCAAAGCCACTGGTAAACAATAATTGAAAGTTTTGATACCTTTATTGAGAGGATTATTTGAAGCGATGTTCGTTCATTTGGACTCGATGTATATATTTCTTTAGTTCTGTTTTGTGAATATCCCTTTTTCGCTGTAAGCGGGAATAGATTCACTTGACTTTGAGTGGACTGCTTTTGATGTATGCGTTGTGCGTGAGAGTTTGATGTTCTTACCGAGTTTTCTTCCAACGACGTAACCACACGTAACTGCAGCCGGCCGGCGGTAAAGCAGAAGCACAGGATAGTTCGGTAACGCACGCACCTAATTTGTCCTGTTACACGTCACTAAAGTACGCGCCAAATCACTTAACTAAGATTGGTGGGAAATCACTGAATTGTTAGATCATAAGATCAATGATGAGATGAAAGTTGATCTGAATATATCAAGATCAGTGGGAAAACATGAGAGTCAAATTGATTGATTCGACAACAACAAAACGTGGTTGCGGTAGCTGTCGAAGTCAAAAATCGTCTGTCCTTTTCACTTGTTATATCCAAAAAGTTCAGGGGGCGCTCGCGGCGGCCTTAACATTAAACTCTCGGACTCGCGAAAGCAGACATACAGGGAGGATGAGTTAAGTGAATAGTATTAAAATAACATCAAGAATGAATATTATCAACTAACAATTACAACACAATACAACTATGAATTTATGATGGTGAAAACAGAACATTCCGCCCACCAAAATGCATGTAATGCATTTTCTAAGCTTCTGAAGGAAGGGGACAAATTTTTACGACAGGTCGCTTGAATGTGCCACCAGCCGTTTTGAGGGTAACTACGCGTATTACCCCATCTTTCCCAGGGTGTACCTCCGTTACGCGGGCCAATGGCCAAGTTAAGGGAGAGAAATTTTCGTTTTTAATCAAAACTAATACACCGGGAGCTATGGGAGTACTGTTTTGATTCCACTTACAGCGTTGGTGCAATGTATGCAGATATTCGTGGGACCATCGTTTCCAAAAGTCTTGATGCATACGTTGCAACAACTGCCAGCGGTTCAGACGGTTTATTGGAGTATCAGTTAGATTGGTTTCTAAGGGAGCGCTCAAGGGTTCCAAGTTGAGAAAGTGACCTGGAGATAAAGCGGTGAGATCTTGGGGATCATTACTAATTGGGGTGAGAGGTCTCGAATTAAGAAGGGCTTCAATTTGAATAAGTACAGTATTCAATTCTTCGTACGATAGCACCTGGGCGCCTATAACGCGGGCTAAGTGAGTTTTCACAGATTTCACCCCCGCCTCCCATAGTCCACCAAAATGAGGTGCTGAAGGAGGGTTGAAACTCCAGGCGATGGTTTCCTTGTGAGCTGCATCTTTGAGAAAATTATTGAGCTGTTTGTTAGCTGACACAAAGTTAGTGCCGTTATCACTGTAAATATGTTGAATTCGACCTCTGCGTGCAATAAATCGGCGTAGCGCTGCCAAGAATGCATCTGCAGATAGATCTGAGGCAAGCTCGAGGTGCAATGCCTTGGTGGCCAGACACACAAATAAACACAAGTATGCTTCACTTGATTTTGCACCACGTGTTTTGGAAAGGGTAATGGTGAAGGGTCCAGCGTAATCGACTCCCACATGTAAAAAAGGTTTGAGCTGAGATAACCTTACTGATGGTAAGTTTCCCATGGGAGGTTGAGGAGTAGTTGGGTTAGTTCTCCAACATTTGAGACATTTTGACAAAATACGTCGGATAACACGTTTGGAGGACAGAATCCAAAATTGTTGTATAACCAAGTATTGAATTTGTTGGATACTTGCATGAAAGTATGTGACATGGAAGTGATCAATGATCAAACTGGTGAGACGATTATTACTCGGCAAGAGAGCAGGAAAACGTCTTTCATAGGAGATGGGAGCATGAGCCAGGCGACCACCAACTCGAAGAATGCCTTCGTCGTCTAAAAATGGGGTGAGTTTGCGAAGAGACTTAGACGGTGACCTACCTTTTTTTATAAGAGATATGTCTTCGTTGAAGACTAGGGCTTGGATATGTTTGACAAAAAATGTCAAAGATTGGTGTAGTTCTGTTGACAATAGACATCCAGATTGATTTCGCGAAGATTTTCGACAGTTATTGATAAACCGGAGGACATAAGCAAATATTCGTTTCAAGCGATTCAGAGATGATACATTATTTAGCAATATATCTAAGAGATGAGGAGTAACGGTAGCAGCAAGTGTGAGGTTTCGTTCCTCTTCGAGTGCTTGTTCGGGAGCTGAACCGTGAGGAAAGTGAGGCCAATTACGATTAGGATCGACTAGAAAAGGAGGCCCCGCCCACCATAGGGAATGAGTCAAAATAGAAGAGGGGAGAATCCCTCGAGAACCTACATCTGCCGGATTTTCATTTGATTTAACATAAAACCAACTCTCACGTGGAATTTTGTCCTGGATATAGCTGACTCGGTTACTGACGAAATTTTTCCATCGGTGGGGAGAGGAATTCAACCACCACAGGACAGTCGACGAATCAGACCATGCACATATTTTCTTGAAGGGGAGAACGGAATCATAAACATTCATGACGAAAGATAGTAAACGGGCAAGGAGAACAGCTGCGCATAATTCCAACCTTGGTATAGAAATACGTTTGAGTGGAGCAACCTTTGATTTGGCACAGACCAAATGAGTGGAAAATACATTAGTCGGGGAAACCTGGACTAAATATATGACTGCACAATAGCCCTTCTCTGAACTATCGCAGAAGCCATGAACCTCATACGTACTCGAATCTTCTATCAACATGAACCGAGGGAGTTTGCAAGCAGTCAAAGAAGCAAGTTCTGAGGTATATTGTTCCCAGATACGTCTTATATCAGCAGGTGGAGTAATATCCCATCCTAGATTCAATGTCCACAATCTTTGAATGAGAAATTTAACGAAGAACGTAATGGGAGACAAAATTCCGAGGGGGTCAAAGGTTCTGGCAAGATTTGACAGGAGATTGCGTTTTGTGCAAGTATTATCTATTGATTGAACCGCGAAGGAAAATATGTCCGAAAATGGGTTCCAACGTAGTCCCAGAATTTTGAGAGGGGTGTCGGCTTCAAAATTAAGTGCGAATGTTTCGTCACAAAGGTGGGAGATGGGAAGAGTGTCCAGGAGGCGTGAGTCATTTGCTGCCCATTTTCTGAGCTCCAAGCCACCCTTCTTTAGTAAAGTGATTAATTGTGTTTGTAAATATTGAGCATCCTCCAAGGTTGAGGCGCCAGTGACAATGTCGTCAACATATGTTTGAGTGTAAATAACTTTTGCTGCCTCAGGAAAATTATCCTTTTCCTGATCAGCTAAGGTTAAGAGAGTTTTTATTGCCAAGTATGGAGCGCAAGAAAATCCATAAGTGACGGTGAGTAGGCGATAGTCTTGTATCGGTTCTGAGGGTGAAAAACGCCATAAAATACGCTGATAATCAGTGTGAGAAGGGTGAATGCGAATTTGCCGATACATTTGCTTTATATCGGCGGTGAATACGTACCGATACAATCGGAAATGCAATAAAATGGTCAAAAGATCGCGTTGGAGTTTTGGGCCTGTAAGAAGACACTCATTGAGAGAGGTTTGACCAGGAGACTTGGATGAAGCATTGAAAACCACTCTAAGTTTGGTAGTAGTGCTTGACGGTTTCAAAACAGCGTGGTGAGGGACATAAAAACTCCTATCAGTGTTTGAATGATTTATGTGTTCCATGTGACCAAGATCTAGGTACTCTTTCATAAAATTCGAATAATCTTTGAAAAGAGTGGGGTTTCTTAGTAAACGGCGTTCTAAACTGAGAAAACGTGACATAGCAATATTTCTACTACCAGGGAAAGAAGGTTCGCCATCACGAAAAGGCAATGATACGACAAATCTGCCAGATTCGTCTCGATAAGAGGTGTCTTGAAATATTTGTTCGCAGCGGAGGTCATCAGGGGATAAGCAATTAATACTAGGGACATTTTCTACCTCCCAAAATTTCTGTAGCGTATTTTCTAGAGTAGAATCGAAACAAATAAATGTTTGAGGAGAGACACATGATTCAGTAGAAGTTTTACCCATCAGGATAAAACCAAAGACTGAGTTCAAGGCCACAGGGTCTTCTGAATCACCTGTGCAGCGTCCCGGTTGCACAATATGTGGATATAGGTCGGCACCTATCAAAAGATCAATAGGCCCTGGGATATTGAATCTAGAATCTGCTAATTGTAGATTCTTGAAAGGAGAATCCGATGACAACGAGATGGGAATATTGGGAAGATCACCGCAAATTTTCGGAATAACGATTGTTTCTAAATTGAACGTAGGAGCACTTTGACCTATGGGTTTTATCAAACAGGATGTTCCTTCAGAACTGATGAGAGTGTTTGTATGTCCAATACCTTGAACTGAGAAATTCAACTGGTATTTAGAGAGACCAAGACGGTTAGCACATTTGTGTGTGATGAAGTTGCTCTGGGATCCAGAATCCAAGAGTGTTCGTAATTGTTGAAAGTTCCCTCGATTGTCCAGAACTTCTACAATAGCGGTGGGGAGTAGAACATTTGAACGGGTTGAGATTCCTGTGAGTGCTTGGGTGCGAGTTGCGCCATTCGAGTGATTATTCGACGACGAGGAAGCTCCAGAATGGGGGGAATTGTCGGGGGTGTTGTTTTGAGTTGGTAATCTTGTAGAAGAGCCCGTGACTTCAAAATGAAGCATGGTATGATGGTTTTGACCACATTTATGACACGTATAGGAAGACTTACATGCTTTCAGCATATGGGAGTTGCTTAGACAGTTTGAACAGAGGTTATAATCTTTCACCATTCGATATCGATCACTGGGAGATTTTCCGAGGAAATCGGGACATTTGTATATCAAATGATCCTTTTTGCAGATACTGCAAGCCAGTGTATTCGTATTTGCCAATAAAGTAGTTGAAGGTCGTTGATGAGAATAACTTGGTTCTGGGTAATCAACCCTCTTAATATTTGATTTCACCTTGTGGCTCAAGTTGACATTGTCTAGTGCACAACAATGTTTTGTTAGGAAATCAGTCAACTCGATGTATTTGGGAATGGTGGAGGAACTATGATGCAATTCAAACTTTGTAGCTATTGAAACGTCTATACGCTTCAAGAGCATTTGAACTAAAATGAAGTCCCAAGAATCTACAGGTAGCTTCAATAGTTTGAGGGCGGCCAAATGATCGGCAAAGGTATCCAACAAATTTCGTAAATCCTGAGGGTTGTCTGAATTCAATTTGGGAGTATTGTCAATAGCTGACCAATGAGCAGCAGCTATCAATCTTCGATTCTGGTATCGCTTCACTAACGTGTCGTAAGCGATATTATAGTTAGCAGATGTCATGGGAAGTTTTTGGACAAGATTTAAAGGGGGCCCTTTCAAGGATGACAAAAGGTAATTAAATTTTTCAATATCGCTTAGTTGGGTATTGGTATGTATGACTGCATCAAACATATCTAGAAAAGAGGAAAATATTGTTATATCTCCATTAAACGTTAATAATTGCAGTTTGGGAAGGCAGATATTGTTTTTAGATTGAGGGGGTGATATATTCGATTCTGATCGTAGATCGAATAAAGTATGATATATTACCTTGATTGCGTAATATGTATTTTCGAAATCGCGTCTAATTCCGTCTTCAACATCAAACTCTGCATCAGTTGTGACTAATGATATAATTGAGCTATGTATTTTGGAAAACTCGTCCTTAGTTATTTCAATAAATTCAAATTTGACTTTGAAAACGGGATGAGAATTTTCATCAGTTTGAGCTCGAGTAGCAGTATCATGCAATTCATGTATGCGATTGATCTCAGACCTTCTGAGAATTTGCCATTTTCTAAGTTTTTCAGCCATTTTTATTCAGTGAAAATCGGAATAAATAAAAGCTATCAACTGTCAGTAAGTGAAAAATATTCTAATCGAAAAGTGCAAGAGACTGTATGTGTTCGAGAGTGAGATGGAAGTTAATTCAAATAAAGATTGAATTGCATTTATTATCGGTTAGCTGGATCACCCGGTATACGAAGTGATTTCCTTCGGAATGGGAATTCCGTAGAAATTTTGAAATCAATAACAATAGGTGTAAAGGTGAACGAATTCTTATTATTCTTTTTGTTGCGCGACAAAAAATACTGACCGCTAAATATCAGCCAGCTGTGTCCCGCAGCTAACAAAAAACTGCAGTAGATAGGTACACCGAGAAATAGATAATAAGTTTTTCGATTTTGGATATCTTCAAGCGACCTGTATGATTAAAGATGAAAATGAGAGTTTGGAATTTGGAAGTAAATTTCAGTTGATAACATCAATTAAAAGAAATGAATGAGCCAATCTGGCTTACGAAGGACCAAATAATGTTTTGTGAATATCCCTTTTTCGCTGTAAGCGGGAATAGATTCACTTGACTTTGAGTGGACTGCTTTTGATGTATGCGTTGTGCGTGAGAGTTTGATGTTCTTACCGAGTTTTCTTCCAACGACGTAACCACACGTAACTGCAGCCGGCCGGCGGTAAAGCAGAAGCACAGGATAGTTCGGTAACGCACGCACCTAATTTGTCCTGTTACACGTCACTAAAGTACGCGCCAAATCACTTAACTAAGATTGGTGGGAAATCACTGAATTGTTAGATCATAAGATCAATGATGAGATGAAAGTTGATCTGAATATATCAAGATCAGTGGGAAAACATGAGAGTCAAATTGATTGATTCGACAACAACAAAACGTGGTTGCGGTAGCTGTCGAAGTCAAAAATCGTCTGTCCTTTTCACTTGTTATATCCAAAAAGTTCAGGGGGCGCTCGCGGCGGCCTTAACATTAAACTCTCGGACTCGCGAAAGCAGACATACAGGGAGGATGAGTTTAGTGAATAGTATTAAAATATCATCAAGAATGAATATTATCAACTAACAATTACAACACAATACAACTATGAATTTATGATGGTGAAAACAGAACAAGTTCCTTGTCTCATTCATTATTCAGAATCTGCAGACTCACCAAATACTCCTTGCAGACGCTGAATACTTTCTGATGTTTTCACACCTTCTTTCCATAGAAAGAAACCTATTTCTTTTTGAGATTTTGCTGCGTCCTCTATGGTAACAAAAACAGTGCTATGGAAACGTGTCTATATCAGTCGAACACCTAAATCAGACTGAACAATATTGCAATAGATAGTTTCATAAACATGTCAAGACTTGCCTGGCACCCATAACATTGCATATAGGTTCTGCGTAATATATAGTAGCACAATTCTCCGAACTTTGGAAACATACCTCGTAGAAGCTGTTCAAATATGTGAAATAACTCTATCACACCTGGTTTCAGTTGAATAATAATAATAATAAATGGGCTACCAACACTCGACAGTACCGACCGAGGTCCTTACTGTTTCACTTATGAAATCTAATATGAATGTAATCAAATATGGCCGCTAGTAGCATTATTGTTACCTATGAAATATTGAATATTCCATGACTATAAAAAGAAACTATTATTATGTTTGAAAACATGTTGAGTTATATTTCATGGTACTTCTGCTTAATTTGTAATGCATTCCATCAAGGTTTTCTGGAAACTTGTTTTGGTATCACCGTTGGGTCTCCCTGTAGATACGGTAATTGAATAATGCACATTATTTAGTATGTATGTATGTAGGACAATTTTCAAGATAACTTTGAGTCTCAGAAATCGGTCTAATCTTGATGGTAAGCTGATATATAAGTTAAAAGGGAATTTTGAGGGCGTCGTATTTTAGTAAAGGCTCTGAAGCTAAATCTTTCTGCTAATTATGAATTTTTCAGTGCCGTCTTCCTATTGATGATCAGTTGAATATCAATAATTTATTTGATACGATTTCATCCTAATCCCAGGGATCATCATAATATGGTGTCTGTACTATATTCTCTATTTAGAACATTATGTACCTATATGATATGAATGGTTACTCTAAAACAGAGAACATTGATTTCATTTAACTAATAATTTAGAAGTGTATCAATAATTAATTCGAATGAGTATACAATAAGATGTACTATATTCTTTATTCAGAACATTAATAAGGGGAAGCTTTCGTTACTGATTTATGGATTATATTCTGGAGAATATTCATGGGAAGCAGTCGAATGTGACCATTATCAGTTAGATTTTGTCCAGCATTCGAAAATTATTATTTTCTTCAACAAGACTGACTAAAAACATCCAATGAACAATAATGTTAATATATAAATGTACATCATTAAAGTTGGTATACTTACTAACATGAAATACTATATAAAATTAGCACCATCATCTATGACATTTTTTGTCACATCATTTCATTTTATACACATGTTTTTTGTGCTAATTTTATATAGTATTTCATGTTATTAAATATACCAATCACATTGACGTACATTTATATATTAACATTATTGTTCATTCCATGTTTTAGTAGGTTCTGATGAAGACAATAAACATTTTGGAAAGCTCGACAAAAAGCGAAGAAATCTATTGGTCACATTTGACAGATTCCCACAAATATTCCCAAGAATTCAGAACATTATGTATATTAAACAAATGATCATAGTTGTTATGGGATGATTGTTCTACTTGGTTACTCTAGAACTCAGAACATTGTTTCAACTAATAATTGGATGATCATTAATAATTCAATTATATAATATGTCTGTAATGTTTACAATTTTAATCGAATTGATGCACATTTCTTTTCAAAATTTTCTTTCAGACGGCATTGGGAAAAGCTGTCATGGAAATACAATTCTGCAAATTGGGTTTAGTATCACCAGAAGGGTGCATGCCTAATAATATCAAAAGTACATTTCAAATGTTATGGGCTAATAATGGAGATACTATAAGTAAACAGTATGCTGGAACGAATGCTTTGAAGGTAATTCGACTATTAAATAGTGATTAAAGGAAAACAATTCCTTTGATTTTATAACTGACATTTTCAGTCCAATATCACAAAATTAAGATTAAATTCAATTATTCAAGAAACTACAAACTGGTACTAATGACATTTTTTTTATCAACTGAAAGATAAAATGAAACATTTTTTTGTTTTTATTTCAAATGATATAATTATATGATATATAATTCAAAGGACTATTACAATGATATTTTAGTTACCTACTCACTTTTCTTGTTTATTTGAAATAATTATTTAAGATCATGATGAAGTTTAGTATATTATTATTCGATGAGCGCATAATGATGGCTATTACCCACAAAGATGAAAGTTGCCGTACGAGCCGATGGCGAGTGCTGTGATCATCTGAGTGGGTAAAATAGCCATTATGCGCAAGTAGAATACTATACAGGGTGTATCTAAATAACACCGAAAAAATTCAAGGAGTGATTCCTTGTGATATTCTAGCAAATAAAGTTCATATGAACATGTGTCCTAAATTGTTCCGTTTTTGAGATACATGATGTTGCAGTTTAAAGTATCAATTGTTTTTATTCATAACCCCCCTGTATCAGCTTTCATGGTGCCAATACTCAGTGTGGTTCGAGACTGAGGAAGCCCTAAAATTTCAAATTGATTGTAATTGGGGTTATTGAGTAATCTCAATGGAAGTCTGAAAACATCTACATTAAAATTTGGAGTCAAATAGGATTTTTATTGTTTCCTCTAAAACTAAGCTTGATACTATAATCATACAAAGAATAAAAAAGTTGTTATTTCAATAGTTCAATCTAATAAAAATGTGAAACTCAGAGAAACCCGTGGCGTACAATGACATTCACCATAAAAATCGATAAATTTAACCACTGTGACGCCACTGGAAATATTATTACGAATCTAATTACACCAGGAGAAGCTCCATATTACTTTCAACGAATTTACAACATTTACATTTATTGAAATTGATGAAAAGACAATAATTGAGCAATGAATAAAAAACGATTTTACATGGAAATATTAATACCCTGTATCTCGAAAACGAAGCAAGTTAGGACACAAGTTCCCATGAACTTTATTTCCTCAAATATCACAGGGATTCGCCCCTTGAATTCTTTAGGTGTTATTGAGATACACCCTGTATAGTCTAAGAGCTGACAACAAATTTCAATGTCCGATTAATAGATCGTTATCTCCTACTTTAGTGTACTGCCTTAACATCATTAAAAACTGATCGAGATGTCTGGCAAGTTTTAAGTGATGGAGGCGGCCTTGCATGGTAAGGCCGTAAAGGGTTGAAAAAAATCAATGCAACGTACGATTAATAAAGCGCTGAATTTTTGTGGGTTGGTAGCCGATTATGTATGCTTTTCAATTAAAAATATGTCAGACACATTGAGTGTTACAATCATACCGTCAGACAGCGTTAATAGGCCAACAAAATAAGAATTACGAAATAGCCACAATGCTCAAAGTGGAATGAAATGTTGAATAAATATATAGCTCAAAGTCATTTCCACACAATGTTCATAAAATGAACAACAATCGTAGATTTCGGGAGAAAAACAACTACTTTCCTGGCTAATGCCACGCAGAACATTGAATGACATCCTCCCGAAATCTACGCATCGACTCGTATAAACGAATACTTGTACCAGATTTCGGATGTAATTCAATGTTCTGCGTGGCATTAGCCAGGAAAGTAGTTGTTTTTCTCCCGAAATCTACATTGTTGTTTATTTCATGAATATTGTGTGGAAATGACTGAGCTTTTTGTATTTATTTAAAATAAGAATTTTTCGAGGAATTGATTGCCACCAAACTGGAAATCGTTCCAATCCCTTCATTTGGTCCTAAGTTGGTGTAATGTGAGTTTGCACTATCCCAGGAGGTGAGCTTAACTCTCGGGAGCCCAAAAGAGGTACATTTTTTCACTTTTTCTCAGTGTTTTGCTTGTAGCTCGAAAATATCGCGTCGGACGGAAAACGACACTTTATTCATGCAATAATAAAGAGGGTTAAATTCACCGTAAAATGAGTAAAGGTATAAAATTGGTACATTAGTACAACCGACATGAAGAGTCAAACACCGGAAACTTCTCATTTCAGTTCAAACCTACATTTTGCTACTTTCCAGGACCACATATCTTCAAATCAGATACTCAACAGAGTACAGGGTGGCTGGAATTCGAGGCTTATCATTGGGATCTCGTAAACTGTAAGATATACAGGGTCGGTTAAATTATGGCAAAGTTGCGCAATTTTATGCTGATCAAAATGCCGCCTCTAAAGTTTGGAAATTCCGAAGATATTTGAAAAAACCGAATATCCGTGATTTCGTTATTATTTTTTTGTGACTTTATTTGAAGTGATAATATATGTCAAAATGAGTTTCATATTAGCATTACCACTTTTTCTGTTCTATATACAATAGCATTAATAGATTCGTGTTCTGACGTTTCGTCTTCGGGGAGCCATCAACAACTTTGTTTTTTTAAATGGTCGAAAATAAATTTTTTGTTCCTAAAATACTCTTATCCCAATTCTGAATCCAATGGCATATAACACTTTGCAATTTTCTTACGTTTCGGACCAAAAAATCATGATCAGTGTTATCTGATGATAGTTTCTGAGAAATGGATCGTCGGATAAAAAATCTGATGATGGCAACTTGTAGAGGAAGGAAAATGGCTATGAACATGTCAAATTCATTTTGGTCTATCTCGTATAGTCAAATCAGAAAAAGATCATTTCTGAGAATTAGAAACTTGGAGAATAACTTTTCATTGAAAACTAAAATAGAGAGCGACCGAGAGATAGACCACAATGAATTTGACATTTTCGCAGTCATTTTCCCTTCTCTACAAGACGCCGTCATCAGATTTTTGTTCCGACGTTTCGTTTCCTCGTAACCATCATCAAATAACAATGATAATGATTTTTTGGTCCGAAACGTAGGATAATTGCAAAGTCTTATATGTCGTTTGATTCAGAATTGGAATTGAAGTTTTTTAGAAACGAAATTTTTTTTTCGATCATTTAAAAAAACAAAGTTGATGATGGCTCCTCGAAGACGAAACGTCGGATCATGAATCTATTTATGCCATTGGATAGAGCAGAAAAACTGGCAATGCTAATATGATATTCATTTTGACATATCACTCCAAATAAAATCAGAAAAAAATAAAAACGAAATCGCGGATATTCAGGTTTTTTCAAATATCTTCGGAAGTATTCGTGATTTCCAAACTTTCGAGGCGGCATTTTGATCAGCATCAAATTGCGCAACTGTGCCATGATTTAAAGGACCTTGTATCTCTTACGGTTTACGAGATCCCAATGATGAGCCTCGAATTCGAGCCACCCTGTACTGTCATGCTTCGTCCATGTGACAGCCTTGGGCTTCCACAGAACTCATGACGACCTGCTCAAATATATGAACAGTGAATACACCAGACTAAAACTTGTCAGGCGTCCTAATGGTGTAGTAGCCTTGGTTCGCGAATATATCACATTCATCAGGCGACAGATTTTCTTCCATACTAGCATGTCCTGGAGGTACAAATTGACATGATACAAAAAGTGATCGCTGGAATGCAAGTAGGGCAACATCCGTTGCACCGATTATAGATGCTCCGGAATTTCAAATGTTATGTAGTGATAAAGTTGCCACTTCTTCATCATAATATTGATTCGTTTTCTCGACTATTTATTTCAGAACTTAATTCACTCATTCAAAAACTTTTGAAATCTTTAAAATCCAGCATTTCTTGAATGGACCATTTATTCATTCAGTATTTCTACAATATACTTCAACCGCAATAGTGAAACAAACATCTAATGGAGAGAAATGGGAGAAAAATAATGTAATCCATTCAAAGTATTGGCTCTTTTTGTACATACATTATAACAATAACGCAAAAATAATTTAATAATAATGGTCAGGAGAGATCTGCTCGTTTCATAAAACTTTCATTCACAAAAGTTTCTGAACTGCATTTATGATCGATTTTGAATTTATGCAAAATTCAGTTTTTCAAAATGACTGAATTCGAAAATTCGGAAAACTATATACTAGGTGTCCCGTGACTCGATGGCCATAGCTTGAGGGCATATTCCTTGAACAATTTCAAGTCAAAAGTGCCTTATACAGTTTTTTCTTAAAGTCAATTATTGAGAAGTTATGAGCAATTAAATAACAATTTTTGCTAACCAGTAGATTTCAAGAGGTGGTCAAGTTCTTTTGCCACCGAGGTCACCTGACCACTGTTATCTCTGGGTACCCGTGAAAAAACTACTGTATTCAAATAAACCACAAATCAGAGATGAGCTAATTGAAAATATCATGACTACAGCTGCATCCATAAGAGACGTCCCAGATACTTTTCTGAAAGCAACGTTTTCAAATATTAGACGAGCAAGAATGTGTTGTGCAGCATCAGGAGGGGGGGGGGGCGGTTCAATTTGAACACAACCTTAATTGAATTTGTGTAAGTGATAAAATATTCTAAATTTATGAAATATTTCATTACTTCATTCAAAATTCTCTTTGTGTCATTACACAGTTATGTTAAATTCAATATTGCCCATTACTCCTCAACTATAGAGTTTTGGACGAAAGTGTATAGAGCACTTTTTACTTGAAATTGTTAAAGGAATATGCCCTTAAGCTATGGGCATCGAGTCAGGGGTATAAGTTCAATTTTATTTTCTACATGAAAATTTCATCCTATGATTTTTTTCGAAGATATGTGGTCCTGGAAAGAAAACGTAGTAAAGAAAATAAAACTGCACTAAAATGGAAAACGTTTCCGGTTTTTGACTCTTGATTTCGGCTGTACTACTGAACCGAATCTGGAGTTTTATGTACTCATTCTCCCCAGAACTCATCCCTATTTATTATTGAATTGAAGTTCCAGAGATATTAACAAAAAACGATTTTTTTTTAAATCTCAACACCCTGTTCCTCGAAAATGGTGCATTTTAGGAGGTAGGAAAATAGAAACTTCTTCCATATTTTGGATAAGCTATCACATCCTGAAGTCCTGCACATATCTCAGAGAAGATGCATTTTAGGACATACGTTGATAAGAAATCGTGACCTCAAAGTGAGGTTAGGAACCCGTATACAAAGTTTGTTCTTATTCTGACTTACGCTATATTTAATGAAATTATTTTTCGAGAAGAAGAGAAGAGAGTACGTCGCGTTCTCAACACAGAACGCGAAGTTGAATTTCGCAGCCGTTACCCATAGCAGCGGCCGCCAAACCAAACGTCACTTTCGAATTTGACATTTCTAAACTACGACAATAGCAAGGTTATTCAATGTCATATCATGGTCAGGTCATATTTTCGTTTTGTCAAGAATTGTCGAAATATTTTGTTAAAATTCAAACATGTAAGTTCCATACCAACAATGTGATTTTTTAAAATTAATTGAACTGCTGTTGATCTGACAGCAATAATATTTATAAATATCTAGTTCAATAATTTGCACGAAAAATAGTGTGTATACCATAGCCGCGAAACTTTTTAGCAACCTCAAGATTATCTTACCGTAGCCCGGAACGGCCTCAGCGATAGCTTTTCTTTCGGCACGCCAAAAGTTATTTCGTGGCCCAGGCATACAAATAACTATTTTCACACATTTCACCCTAGAAAATGTACTCTGATATCAACTTGTGATACATACTTCAATTCAGAATGCTTAATCAAACGTTGCAAAAAATGTCATTCCATTTTTTCAGAATATATGCTTCAGTTGAAGTTGTAAAAATTACCTTTTCTACCAGTTTGTACTGTTATTTCCAATCAATATATCTTTGTCAATTTTCTTGAAGGAAGTATCAGCTGGGTCCTTCTGCAATTGAAGTGATAAATTGAATTACATTTTCTCGAAAAATGTTTGTTCTCTCCATACCACATATTTTAACTTTTTTGATCATTCGACATTATTGCAGAAATAAATCCTCTGGTTCGGTTGTAAATTCCTGATCATTTATTGACAAGAATTCTCCAAATTCGATGTTTTAAAATAAACTTGAAATTTCTTATTGCATGTTTACAACAATTCATACATCAATATTCAAGTAAGCCTGCTTAAATTTCACAATTATATAGGAATTCAAAATTTTGTTATAGGGTGATTATACAAGAACTGGTGAAAGAAAATTCACTGGAATGATGAAAGATGGGATGAATTCAGCTAACAGGTATGTTTTAGTATTTCACAAATCCAAATATGTCATTGTCATCATGCTCTATAGTTTATATGATGAACAGATTAGTCATATCATGTGCGGAGAGGTCTGCAATGGGCTTATTGTTATTAATGGAATATTTTCTCGGTTTTCCTTTACGTTATTTTGTAAAACTTATTCATAAAAATAACGAAAAATCTTTAGCACTTGAACTTGCCCAACTACGGTTGAAAGTTGAGCTAAAAAGCGACAGAACCGACTGTGACGTCATCTTGCATATTGTGGTCTGATAATTCGGCAGTACACCGTTGCGTTTCACTTAAGACAGTTTGCTTCCAGCTGCAATAGCTTTAGATTTTAAAATGTTAGAGGTTTTGTTATTTGAGATGTATTCAGTAGATACTGAATTTATTGAAGCAGATTCTGCAAATTTACCTGAAATCGATATCTTTATGGTGATGGACTATTTTAATAAAACAAAGACCACGAGTGTGGAATTTCGAGGAATAAAATTGAAAAGATACTTTAGTAAAATAAATTCAATATTCAAACTTATTCTTCTTACTAGGATCGAAAGAAAATTAGAATACACTGAAAAAACATGACACTCAGTAGTCTTATGGGAAAGACTCACTCAAAAATGACTAATTTGGTACTTATGTTATTCTATTCAACCACCTGAACAGAATTATCTATTCTCAAAAAAATCAGTCCGAGTATTTTTTCAGGCAGTTGAAATTGAAAAATGATGCTTCACTCAAAATCCTGATCAACAGATTGGATGATTGATTTTTTTTATAGTTGATTATCACCCAAATATTTGTTCAAAATTGTCATTATCCTCTGGGCTTATTTTTATACAGGGTAGATAAATAAAAATAAAATAGAGTAATTGAAATTTTATGTTGCGTTCCTATACAAGAGTGAACATATTTATATTTATGTATATAAATATACAAAGTGTTTCAGAAAAACATGACCCACTGAACATGTTTTTTTTACAAATTTTTCACGGTTATGTCGAAACTATTGGCAACATTGTAATGAAACCGACACAAAATTTATCATCATCAGAATTATCTGAACATCGTTAGTCACTATCGAAAGTCCGAAACATGATAATTATAAATATATGGAGATGACTTAGTGTGTCTTGTTTCTGAAAATCATCTTATGGTTTGTGGTAAAACATAACAAACTGTGATTTTCTTGGGTTAGGTTTCAGTCTACAAAGTCCAAACCAAGTGCTGATGTTGTTTATCATTTGCTGTGAGTTTTCTGTTGTTGACTTCAGTTTGATCTATTTAGTATGAGAGATTAGATGTGTCGTCTGCATAGTCTAAAATGTGTAAGTCTCTATATCAATTTCGTTATTGTTGTTACCCTCATTGAAGTTATATAAATCGAGGCAGTATAGGTCATAAGGAGGAGGGGGTAGAGGGGAGCCCTGGAAGACGCCTGTTGGGGTGGGGGGGCAGAGCCTCTTTCTGGTAGGGTGTTGATTTCTTGGCACATATCCGGCCACTAATGTTGATATTGGTGGATGTTGCATTCGTTTCGAATCCAGAGTTAGTCAAATGACAAGAAGATAAGAGCCTAAGTCAGCAAAGTGTCCATTTTCTGTTCATCGTGCTCCAGGTTTCTTGAGTAAAAGACGTATGGTGTATTGACCGGGTTGTTATTCATGAGGAATGTTGGAGGTATACCTGCTTTATTTATAACGTGTAACTAACTCATTTGTGTTGAAATCCCCGATAGTTGAATCGTACTTATACATTCTAGCTTTGTGTTCATCTATATTGTTGGATGAATGGTGAACATTTATCATGAAATGTGGAGCCTTCCTTCTAATTAATATGGTATGATGACATGTATTGATTGGCTTTGTCTCTTATTCATTCCGGGTGCATTATCTGTAGGAATTACATTGATTGAATGAGACTTCCTCGTATGACATTTTCGAGTTTGAAACCATTTTTGTATAATACATTTTAATTACTCTAGCTGGTATAACTCTCTTCATCAATCATGACTGTTAACAGCAGAAATATTTCCTCGTTTGTTTTCAGTCGGTGAGTTGGTGTTGGGGGCATCTAGGTCGAACATGACATTAAATACACGGTTTCCACATGGAAATATCAATATTTTATTCCTCAACAAATATATTTTTCCGTTCGTTCATCAGTACTTAAACAAACAGAGTTTATTCAGTTTGTTCAGAAAGGACATCTAATGAGCTCTTCATATACCTGTATTACTCTTTTATATGGTTTCGATTGCTCCAATTCAATAAATTTACAGAATATTTCTATATTTTCTTTAGTTAGGTGTTCGCTAATAAGTATGCCTTCAATTTCTTTTTTCACGTTAAAGATGATGGCTGAATATGACTCTGTTCGTGGTGGAATTCTCGTTATGATTTTCCTTTCTTTCAATTTTTCAAGTGGCTGTTTATTATCAGTTTCAGTAGATATTCTTTTCTATTTAGGATTATATATTGAGTATTTGGTTGTTCAATCCTACTAAATGTCCATGAGGATAGTCTGGCTATGTTGATGGATTTTTCCGTGCTGCCTAGCTAGTTTGGGATCGTTTCGCCATCAAAGGAAGGCGGAGTGGGGTTATCCAGCGTCCTTTTACTGGTAAAGGATACGATTATAATAAGTGATTATAAAGATGACAATGTACGGCGCATGCGTCGTGTTATCAACTATTGGTAATTTAAAATTAGGTATTTCAACGATGCTTATAATTTGTTCAGTAATTGATTTTAGTGAGATTTATATGGAATAATACTATGGTAGTACCGATTTGAACAAATATTTGAGTATTCATTCATTGTTTCACACATTGCAATGCCACTTGACCGTCTCGTCCTCTGCAAGAATATTATTATTATTATTATTATTATTATTATTAAGAATCGTGGTAACCTCTTTTACGATTCATCATCAGCTGAAGATGCTGACTTGCGACTTAATCAATTCACAGATAATTGAATTAATTATTCAATTTGGATATGATAGTTCATGGTTTCTTTTTGAGTCAATTTGGAGTGATATCAAGTAATACATTTAACTAACGATTCTAGTACTAGTATATTGCTTGATCAAACCTGATTCTTCCCAAATCTTGAAAATATAGATTGATATATAGGGTGTTCCTGAAAGGTCTGTACAATCGAAAAATTGATGGAACTTTTTTTGAGTACGCCACTGAACGAATCTTAATATTGTTTTCTATTCCCTCATTCAATACCCAACTTCCAGCTCTCCTCAGAGTGTATTTTGTGTAGGTTTTTCATTGGTTTGCGAGTAAATTGACCAAATTCAATTCAATGCTCACCTGATACTCTTCAGAATTATTTAATTATTGTAGGTTCGTACTGAATTTTCGTATGAAATCATCAATTATATTCTGTATGTGGCACAAATATCTCCACGAATTCAAATAGAGGGTGTTGCATGACGATAAAAAATACAAATTCCAACGCCCTGTAGCGGCTAAACGAAAGAGGTAAGTTTGGTTCAATCATATCAATTTGGTCTCAGGAGTCCATATCATCTTGAACAGACCTTTCAGGAACACCCTGTATTTATTTTCAGTGTATTTTGCTGAAATATTTTGGAAATTGAGCTCATACCATAATTGATTGATTAGTGAATGAAATATGACTTCTTCATGTTAGTAAAACACTATCAGTACAGTTAGTTGGTAGTCTCCCAACTGACCAGCCTAAAAGTGGCCCGAAATTAACTGTTCTCTATAAAAAGTATTCCTCAATTATTATGAAAGTTTTCATGTACCGTTTAGGTTAGCATATCCAATGTTCTGAAATTCATAAAATGGTTGAAAAACTGAAGGAGTTCAAGGCGATGTATCATGAGTCTGTCACACGATTCAAATATGTGGGTCTGAAACATGGCATTCTGATATTACTGAGAGTATATCAGTAGAAAGAAACATGATTTTTCTCGTTTATCTTGAAAACATTGATCATCAATATTACAAAAATACACTGTGAAGTATGTTTATTTTGATCAAAGAATGAACCTACCTACAGACAACTTTCATCAGGTCAATAAATCTTCTTCCTTCCCTCTCTTCTTCACGCCATTTCCTCTATTTCTCCTACCATCCTATCTCATGTGCGAGATTATCAACTGTTTCAGGTACGAGTGTCATATCTCTATCGAGTCGATAACTATGTTAATTCCACACAGAATTTTTGTAAATATATTTCCTGATACTGATATAATGTTCCTCTTGTAGATATTATAATCACCACTTTAGGGATTCCCTTCGTCAATGTTGTTTAGAAATTATGACTGGTACACCACTCACTGTAGTAGAACTTCAAGATTTCTGGACATATTTACGTACAGTCAGTAGTATCGCCAGTGAAATTCTTCCTGCTTACACACCCTCCGTTGCACCCCATTTGGCCCTTCAGCAGGAATTCGAATTTGCGAATTTACTATATCAAATGTCTAGGTCAGTTTTAATATCTGGAAATGATGAAATGAATATTATCAAATGATCATGTAATGCTCATAGGGTTAATAAAATGTTGATGTAACTGCTTTCACTTATGCAACTAATTATTAGTTATTGACTTTTGAGAGCGTTTCTAACTATAAGCTTACATACCAGTATACAATAATACAAGAAGTTTCAAAATGAACGTGCTTGACTTTTCGATTCGTCACGTCATGCAAAGTGTATGTGACCATTAGTCATATCTTCAAATACTCAGTTGAACATTAAAATTGGTTAGGTTGTCATGATTGGTACTAATTGACCAAAAAAAATCGACACGAAACTGAGTTGTGTTGATCTATAAATATTACTCTTTTCAATTTGAGGAAAGGAAACCAAACCCAATTGATAAACCAAATACTCAGAAGTGACGAATACTTCAAGGATAGGATCATATGATTCAAGTCAGAATTGATAATTCTAACAAAGAGTATCTGAGCTTATAATTAAGGAGGGTAGAAATATTCATGTAT